CCGTTTAAATTATATTAAGCCTTAAAGTTCTGCATAATTAAGGGCGTGGCCACTTGAGTGGCAGGTGGATTGCCGCTGCTGTCACCACCGTCGAGCTAGGTGGGTGTGGTGTCAGCAAACAGCTCCCGCCTCTTTGCCCATTTTTGATTATCCGGGAGTGACGCGCGGTGACGAGCTGCCAAGATGGCGACGGCCCGCTCCGCCCACTTTGAGCTACAAAAACGCTCTTTAGAAACCTACGGGTGACGTCACGGACACTACGTCCATGTTTTTGTCTATGGTCGCGACTCACGAGGATATGGGGCTTAAATAGGCTAATTAATTTAGCCCAAAACTTAGGCTGCTTATTCTATCTACTACAATAATAAGATAATACAAATAAAAATATAGCCGCAAGCAGCAATGGCGGGCCCAAGCCATCAGTGCAAACGCCACCCCGGTGGCATCAGGGGAACGGTGCACAGTGGGCACATGCATTTACAGTAACCCTCTGGCATTCTGGTTTTAAGGGATACGGCAATTAAAGGGTTAATCCAAACCATCAAGACTGTGAAACACACACACAGAACAATATATAAAACTTGAGTAACACGTTACAATAAGGTTTCAGTTATTAACATTAACTATGTTAATTAACATGAACAATAATTATATAGCATTTATTAATGTTAGTTAATATTCAAAGCTTAAACATTATTAAAATTGTTTTATGTTAACATTAGTTAATGCACTGTGAATTAACATGAACATTTTGATTAACTAACATCAACAAACATTAATAAATGCTGTGAAAATATATTGTTCATTGTTAGTTCATGTTAGTAAATGCATTTACTAATGTTAACAAATGAGACCTTATTTTAAAGTGTTACCAAAACCTTAATATAGCCGCAAGCAGCAATGGCGGGCCCAAGCCATCAGTGCAAACGCCACCCCGGTGGCATCAGGAAAACTGTGCCCAGCGGGTACATGCATTTACCCTCTGGCAGACTGGTTTTAAGGCATACGGCAATTAAAGGGTTAATCCAAACCATCAAGACTGTGAAACACACACACAGAACAATATATAAAACTTGAGTAACACGTTACAATAAGGTTTCAGTTATTAACATTAACTATGTTAATTAACATGAACAGTAATTATATAGCATTTATTAATGTTAGTTAATATTCAAAGCTTAAACATTATTAAAATTGTTTTATGTTAACATTAGTTAATGCACTGTGAATTAACATGAACATTTTGATTAACTACCATCAACAAACATTAATAAATGCTGTGAAAATATATTGTTCATTGTTAGTTCATGTTAGTAAATGCATTTACTAATGTAAACAAATGAGACCTTATTTTAAAGTGTTACCAAAACCTTTAATGATTTATAAGCATTTTTTAACTATTTTATTGATCGATAATATTTGTGAAATATTTTTGCCTTCATTACAGCTTAGTCTTCATCTGTGAGCTGAACTGTTTTAATGTTACATTCATGAGATGATGTAAATTCAGATGAATGTCATGTCACGGGATGTCATAGGTCAGTATCACATGAGTGTAAAATTATTATTTGCAGCACAAAAATGTATAAGTCCACGTTTATGTATCATTAGATCTTTTTTAATGTTCTAATTAACATAATTATTAACATAATTATATAAAATTATGTTGTCAGTGCCCTACAAATTAACTGGTTCTAGTACTTTTTTGTCCCTCAAACTGACAGAAAAGGATAATGCCTTAAAGATTTCTTAAGCTGTAATGAAAAAAAGAAAAAGAAAAACACCACCAACAACAACAAAAAATGACTGATTATTTTTTTTCTGGTGATTAAAGAGATGTTTAAAAGATGTTTTAAGAGTGAGATCAGATGTCTGATAGTTTTTTTTAATTTTCTGTTACCCTTAAAGCGTTGTAAAGTCGTGAAACTATGCATATTTCCTCAGAATGACTTGTTCTCTGTATGTAAAAAGTTTTGAAGTGTTTGGAAGCTGCACTTTAAAAAATATAAGAAAATTACTGCTATCTTTTTTTACTGTTACTTTAATAAATCGCCATTGCAACACCGTTCAAGATATCAAATATCCATTCGCAATTTAGCATCTTCAGTATATTGGCATCATGTAGACAAAGTTTGGTGTGAATTGCTTGTTTCTCCTGGACAGAGTATCTAAAATTCCACTGCCTGATTTTTCCAAAAATCCACATTCAAAGCAAAATAACTGACTTCCTGTTGGTCGTGGCTGATGACTGTAAATTAGAAAGTTGTCCGTCTTGATGAGAACAATGTATGTACCGAGTGTGGCGTCTGTAGCTAAAACTAACCCCCCAAGTTTTTTCAAAAGGTGGCGCTATAGATGATTATCACAGAGCCCCTGTGCCACGCCTGGGTCCCAGCCTCTGCGGCATCCTAATGGCCGCAGATTCCAACATGTGTGCCACTTTTCAAGAGTTTTTGAGCATGTTAAGGCCCCCAAAAAGCCCCGGTAGTGAAAAAAAAAAAAAAAAATCCTAAAGGAAATCCTGCACCTTAGTGGCTTGGGCCCTAATGAGAAAATGTGAATTCTTTAATTTTTATATTTTATTCATAGCTCAGACAAAATCATTCCCCCCCAGCCCACCTAAACCCCGCCTATGTTATTATCGATTTATTATCTAATGAAAAAATCGGAAATGATCACTTTGGTACATTGAGAAGGCATAAATATAAAATATTAACAATAATAATTATAACTAAAAAAAAAAAAAAAAACAGGCCAGCGGGCCAAATAATTCTCCCGGTACTCCCGATGACCAGTCCTGGCCTGCAAATAAGTTACCAGTAGGAATGCACAATATATCAGTTCCATATTGGTAATCATGAGATATTAAACTTTTTTAACACATTCATTGGTATGAATCAGTATTGGGGCATATATTGGTTTATACTGGATATTTAACTGTTCATGCTCATATGCCATATTAGATTACCTTTGCTATCATCAATTCTAACACACAGAGTGAATCTTTAAAAACACTAAGAATTTAACAACATTTAAAATGTAATGTTTAGTAAATTAATATACACTACCATTCACAAGTTTGGGGTCAGTAAGACTTTTTTATTTTAATAAATTAATACTTTTATTGAGCAAGGACACATTAAAATGATCAAAAGTGGCATTAAAGACTTTTACATTGTTACGAAAGTTTTCTATTTCAAATAAATGCTGTATTAAAAAACTTTTTATACATCAAAGAATTAAAAAAAAAAAAAACATGTTTTCCCAAAACGATTAAGCAGAATAGCTGTTTTCAACATTCAAAACATACATTTTATAAAGAAAAAATGAAATATAGAAAAATACATGTTTCTTGAGCAGCAAATCAGCTTATTAGAATCATGAGACACTGAAGACTGTAGTAATGATGCTGCAAATTTAGCTTAGCAGGAATAAATTACTGTATTAATTAATCAAATAAATGCAATAAAATTTACTTTAAAAACATTTGAAAAATTGTGTGATGATGATGTTTTTTAATGTTGTAATGTTTAAATTCACTTAAAATGAATGATTTTAGTTTTTAGTGTTTTTTTATTTATTCAGACAAACCCGTATTTTAATATCGAACATAACATGAAAAAATTTCAACATCAGACAAAAATATAATACTTTTCATCTCTAGTTGTTCTTTAATATATATTATGCAGATGAATGGTGACTTACTCAGAAGCATGGTTTCTATGGTTGCAACTTGTCCATGACATTTGAATCCTCAAAATGTTAATTGTACATGTTGAATCGAACCACTCCTCCCAATCACCTCAGACAATAGTTAAGCAACCTGAGTAGAACACAGAAATGTCACACGATACCATTTCACTATAAAATAAACGTCTGTCATAAGATTCCACAACAATTAACAGACTGGTTGTTCCAGTACCTATGGTTATATTCGTTAAAAAGATAAATATTCTCACCTAGTCCGGAGAGCGTCTTCTGCATGTCCATCTCCACCACATGTGCATGAACCTGTGTATGCATTAGAGTGGAAAGTTCTGCCGTGTCCAACGACGGGCTTGTCGGGATTTTTGATCATTTCCCCCAGCAGGAAGCCACTTCTACTGTTTTTGAGCAGCAACATCCTGAAACCTTTCTCCTTCAGAACAAAAACACCCTCCTGCCTGCTGGCTATTATGTGAGGCAAAGATATGAGAGAGTCCAGGCTGTTCTTTCAGACGGAAGGGCCACTGAGAGACAAGCTGTAACACCCTTATAGCCGTTTCCATGTCCCCTGTGACACCCTTCTACCCTGCGCCCCCTGCTAGCTTACTGGCCTGCATTGGAATTTTGAATGGTGTATCTAAACAATGTAAAAGCAAAGTTCCCTAACAATAGAAGTTTTAAATGCCAGTGTACATTTATGAACAAAAGTAATCCTAGGGAAATGTTGGTTTTGTGAGGCATACCTTGCATGCTTAAATGAAATTTATTAAAACATGATTCATTTTTAAACATACATGTTTGTTAAGAGCGTTAGGAATGCTGCTGATTCTGATTATTCTGCAGATGTGAACATGTGGTGATAAATGAATGAAAGCAGGAAAGAATTCATGACCTGAGATAAGAAATACCAGGAAGTGGATTAGAACTGAAACAAGCAAAGAAGTTTCTGATTGAACCTTTAATGATGATTTAAAGGGGTCATATGATGCGATTTCTATTTTTCCTTTATGTAGCTATTTGTGCATGTGTAAGATCTGCAGAGTTACAAAGCTCAAAGTCTCCCACAAAAGGATTTATTCTATCTAAAAGAGAAGGCTGATCCAGACCGGGCTAAAAGGCCTCGTTCAAACACGCCCCCACATGTCTACGTCACGATGT